AACTACTAGTATATATATATATATATATAAAATATATATATATAAAAATAATATATATATATATATATATATAACATAAATAAATAAAATTATAAAATATAAATTATAATATAAAAAATTAAAATTACATATATATATATATATATATATAAAATTATATTTCTTAAATATTAGATACAAGAATACATGTTTAGATATAAGAACATAATATTGTCATGCAGGCGTTACAACGTGGAAGAGATGCTTAAGCAGTTCGGTGCCGAGGGAACCAGAAGGGCCGGTACTTACTACGGAAATACCGGGCCCTCGATCGCGCAGCTTGCTACAAGAATTGAATGCGATACAAGTATGTTAAACCCTTCTTGATTCTTTGATGTCACAGCACGATGTTGTAATCAACATTTTACAATTTATCAATTAAATCGCTCGTTTGCGACTTCGCTTCTGAATGCTTCACCTTGCTCAAATTCTCAATTCGCTAGTTTAAGATCTCTGTAATATGAAACTGTATGCTGAATATGCGTAGAATCGAAATGCCTATGTATAAGACAACACAGACAATAATGTGAAATCTTTTGTAAATATGTACACGCCAGAGACGAAATGGGTTTACAATGTTGAAATCTGTGACTTCAGCAAGCATCTTCCGTACAATTCTTCGCAGACTATGAAAAATCCGCCGGTAATTACATAACAGACGTTGACGGGAACACGTTGCTGGACGTTTATATGCAAATCTCCTCAATGCCCCTAGGGTACAATCATCCGGCGATGTTGGAGGCTCTCGCCGATCCCGTTAATCAAGTGAGCGATATAAAGGCACTCCGCCGGAGTACCGTATTTTTTTCATACACGGAATTTGCATGCCATAATCTCCTCTACAGGATATATCACTTAGACTCTAATGTATAGATAACATCTCGTAAAATATCCTACGAATTCTTTCTTATTTTACATAGATGAGATATTCAAGTATGTTGTATGAGAAATGTGTCGTGTCCCTTTTCAGAGAATTATAGCAAACAGACCTGCATTAGGCGTTTTCCCAGGAAAAGAATGGCCTAACAGATTAAAAAATATTCTGCTTAAGAAAGAGGTATCAGACACGTCGTAAAATTGTAATCCACTTTTTACTGTTTATCCACTCTTCGCAATTTGAATTGATTGGAATGATGATTTTCAACAGTTTGCCCCACCTGGATTATCGCACATCACAACGATGATGTGCGGTTCTTGTTCCAACGAAAACGCTTTTAAGAATATTTTTATCTGGTACGCTGAGAAACAGCGACAAGGGGCGCCATTCACGAAGGAGGAGATGGAATCGTGCATGATAAACCAAATTCCCGGCTCACCGCGGTATTCTATAATGTCCTTTAAAGGTTGATTATTTATTTTTGAAAGTCTCGTTTCAATTAGAAGAAATCTTTAATATCGAAATATTTGATATCGATAGGTAGCTTTCATGGGAGAACTTTGGGTTGTCTCTCGACGACTCACAGCAAGTACATTCACAAACTGGACATACCAGCCTTCGACTGGCCTATCGCCTCCTTTCCAGAGTACAAATACCCTTTGGAAGAGAACCTGCGAGAAAACAAGCAGGAAGATAAGCGTTGCCTCGCGGAGGTGAGATTGACAAATCGTCGCTCTTAAATATCTCTTTGAGTGTTTCGCATAATTTTGAAAATAATTTATATAATAATTTTTGATAATTTTCGCAAAATTTTGAAATGACGAAATTTCAGGTCGAGGAACTATTTGAAAAGTACAAGAACGAAAAGAAAATGCCAGTGGCTGGCGTGATAATTGAACCTATTCAGGCGGAAGGCGGTGATAATCACGCGTCGCCAGAATTTTTCCAGGAACTTCAACGTGTGACACGAAAGGTAGCGATTATTTCAGCGTGCGTTGAGTAAAATACATGGAAAGAACAGCTTTGTTCATTTAAAAATAATTTTTAATTGAGCCATCAAAATAATTATATAGAGAATAGAGATATGAGAATTTTAAGCACGAAACACCGTAACAATCTTTTATATTCTAACACTCAATTCGAATATTCTACAAAATTATTTTAAAATTCTATATATATATCTGATGAAATTTTTAAATATTTGAGCAAAACTATTTTTCCGTGAATATATAATTTGCGTTAAAATATTTTAGCATGGAGCCGCATTGCTTATCGACGAAGTGCAAACAGGTGGTGGACCAACGGGAAAAATGTGGTGTCACGAGCACTTCAATTTAGATACTCCACCCGATGTGATGACTTTCAGCAAGAAAATGCAATTAGGCGGTTACTATCATTCGGAGGATCTCAAGTAAATCTCTTTCTCTTTAATGGTAAAAACGAAAGCATCGTGTTTTAATCATTAATATTTAATCACGACCTAAAACATCGCAGACCGAAATTGTCGTATCGTGTGTTTAATACTTGGATGGGCGATCCCAGCAAAGTGATATTGCTCGAAGCAATCTTAGAAACGATCAAGAGGGAGAATCTCTTAGATAGGGTTACGCGCGTCGGCGACTACTTGTTGAAACATTTGATGGATATGCAAAAGGAGCATTCCGATGTGATCAACGCAGTACGCGGACGTGGAACTTTCATAGCATTTAACTGCGCCTCGCCTGAAAAGCGAGACAACATCATTAAGAAATTTGCGGCGAAAGGTAAAGTCTTATCGCAACGTAAAATGTGGACGCTAAAAATATCTTTCACATTTTCCTACTTTTCGTATTCTTGTTAGGTATCCAGACAGGTGGATGTGGCAGTCGAGCCGTGCGACTAAGGCCTGCGTTGACTTTCACAGAACGCCATGCTGATATATTTTTGGATGCGCTTCGTTATGTATTGAAAAATTAAGAGTAATCTTCTAGTGGTTTCTCGTGTCTTCCAAATCAGATGTCTTCCATTACTCGCGGAGATATATCACAATTATGGAGTTTACAAATAATCATTATTTTTCTATGGCAGTTACATTATGGGGATAATAATTTCGAATTAATCAATTTGATTGTTGTCTGTGTGTGCGTGTGTGTGTGCGCGCGCGCGCGCGCGTGTGTGTGTGTGTGTGTGTACAAGACACAAAAATATGTAATATTATGATAGGAACATATTCCTTGATAATTTAGAATCAATGAATATTTTTATTGAGTATAAATTCTTACAGAGATTATTTATATATTTCGTATTTTGAGCAGTATCTGCTGTAGTTTAAAAAGCATAGTATAAAGTGATTAACAATTCATTGTTATAACTCATATTAATGTTTATAACAATCAATTGTTATAATTTATTATATTCATTTCATTTTTCTGCTATTATTTCATTATTCTGCTATTATTCGTTACTTAGCTTGACATATTTCAAAAATTTTATTGCACATTCATAAAATGTCTTCCAAAAGAACTGCCAATAAAAAATATTTAAATTATGCCTTGATTATTATTAACAAAAATATCCTTAAATCATCATTCGACATTCATCTCGACATTTTGCTGAGTATTTCAGCAAAATGCTCATATTCTTGATGATGACTCTTTTGCGTCATGTAAGCTTTTGTCTTCATCTAAAAAAGAAATTAGACAGAATAATTACGAAAGTTTACGAAAGCATATAAAAAAAACATTGATCTGATTACTGCAAATGCGTATTTACCGTCACTTTCGAATCCACGGAACCGTGTCGTTGTGACAAATGCCACAAATTCACAGCCATATTCGCTAATGTGGTATCCCGTAAATCTGCACGGATAATAAAGCAATTAAATAATTCGAGTGCCAGGGCCGACTGTTTGTCGAATTGTTCAGTAGATCCAAGATATTTGAGATGACTCAAAATTTCCTCAACAATCTTGGAACAAATTTTATTAACTTCGCCAATAAATTTCTGATCAGATCCATATAATTTATCATTTGAATCAACCTGAAATGCCATTTTCTAATAAATATTCATTTGTAATTAAATTTTCTAATTTTAAAAAATCGTAAATATTGTCGATTCTTCTACTTGTTTCAAATAAATGAAATACCTTATCGATATGATACGGATAGTTTTCCTGTGCTACTGTCGAGAGAAGGTCGAGTACACGTAAATACAAATATGACTTAGTTGAGGTATTCTCCTCGAAGCAACGTTGAACTGCATTGAGCAAGCCTCGCATCAAATACAAGACACCATGCTCTGGACTATCCTAATATAGCGGAGCAATCTTGAAATCATAAAATTAAAACGTAGCGCGTATTACTATACTTACGGGAACTACCAGCAGCGTCGACAAAAAGTTGGACAAGTATGAAAGTAAATATGGCTGCGAGCTTTTCTGTCTTCCGTCAATGTCGATAGTTTTCGGCATCTCCGGAACTAAACTCAAAGCAGCCTTAAAGCAGGCATCAGCTGAAAAGTGCCGGTTTATGCATGTAAAATGATGAAATAAATAAAAGCAATATATTAAAAGAAAATTAATTTGATTCGCACCTTGGCCTAGACATTGATTCAAAAGGGCAACTTGTCCAGATAATAGATATAATTGAAGCCGCGTGTGGACTAAAGTTAAAGATGGTATAGTGATGAAACAGAACGCAGCACAGGCGCGTACAAACGCTGACGTTCTCCTCGTGTGGTGACCACGCACTATCTTTCTAGTATCAACTGATAATCTATTTACACACTAAATAAAAATAAAAAATAACTAAATCGATCGCTAAATCTTCTATCTTGACATAAATTGCATTGAAAGAGGATAATATAATCATACATATATTACATACCTGTACGAGTTGTATATGAACACTATCAAGATTAGGAAATGCCGCCCTGGCTTCTGCATAGAAGCTAAGCTGCTTTTCAAAATCGCGACCGTAATCTACTCGTTGCACCAGGCTACATATTAGTTGTCCGATTTGTCGTTTCTCATCTTCGACAGTCAGTGCACTAGATTGATTTATTTGATTTTAGAAAGCAGAATTAATATGAATTGGAAAGTGAAAATAAACCCAACAAATGTACCTAACGGAATCATGCATTATTCTTGCAATAAACATCAGCGCATTTATGATAATAGGATCTGTAATAGGCCCGCTTTGCGCACTTAATCCTTCTATAATAGTTTTACAGACTTCAACTTTGACACTTTCCTTGTGAAATAAGTCAATTAAAGGCAAGAAATTGTCCTAAAAATATCAGATCTCTTATGAGAAAATGATTTATTAAATATAAAAATAATTTATTAAATAAGTACAAATAGCACGCGATTATATAAATACAGGACAATTACCATGGCAAGCAATGACTCAAAATCTTGTGTATGCGCAACTATTTTCTCAACAATATTCTGTAATTGTGAATAATAGTTTTCGAAAGCTTTGTTCGGTCGTAATCGGTCAATTATTTTGCCGAAGAATAAATTTAATTCATTTACCTATAATACAAATGTGTAAAATATATATATTTAATTTGATTTAATAACGTTATTATTACTCGTATGACTTACAGAAAAGTGTATGACAGTAAACTGGATCCAGATTTCAATGCAATGCATGAATTTGTTAGGATCCATAAGATCCGTTATGTATTTCCATATTATGTTAAGTATCGATTGACAATCTTCTTTCGGCGGAGATTCTCGTACAAGACATTCACCCAAACTTCGATATAAAAGATACTGAGGATATCCTGTCGAATTAAAAAAAAAAAATGTTAATATTTCTAAATAAAATGTAGACATATCGTTACATTTTCAATTCAATTTTTTAATTAATCTCAGTACCATTGTCTTCACTCGCTACTATTAAATTCACAAAATCCATGGCACGTGCAGCAATATACGTTGGTTTAAATGCAGTCAGCACTGTATTTAACAATAACGATCTGGAACAATATCCGTGTCGGTTAGTAACAATTAAAAATTAAAAACAGATTAAAGATACACATTTAAAGATGTTTACCCGTTTTCTTGTTTTTTACATCGTGATAAGACTTCTTCAAGAAGGCTCTCGGGCGATGTCGCTACCAAAACCTGCACGATCCAATCCAAAGCCGGCGAATAGAGATTGAAATACGAATGCAAAGTGACATTCTGCTTCATTATTTCATTTCTCACAGCGTTTCCAAATAATTGCTGATACGTAAAAAGAAAATCATACAGGTTCTCCCTCACAAACTCAAAATCTGATGTTTTGTTCAATGCCAATCCCACGCGACATAAATAACACCTCGCGTAAACAGCTATTAATGGATTTCCAATGCCTCTTATCATACGAGTTATACGTAATAGCGCAGTATTAAATTCGCTAAAATAAAAATATTATATTAATGTTAGTTTTCATTACATTACGAGTGTCATATATGGGTCTTACCTTGTTGTTAGAAAACTGTAAGATTTTATTATCGCCATTTCTACATACAGACGCGGCACTAGCTCGCGTATAGAAGCTATCTTGTAAAACCAATTTCGACATGTTTCCTTGGCATTCTCAGGAACCATGTCGGGTGTAAAATTATCAGGCAAGCTCGTAGGTACTTTACTTCCTGGTCTGAGAAAGAAATGTTGCTGTTAGCAACTATAAATAAAGTCCGATAATATCCATAATGCAATCTGTGCGACAAGTAAAAAAATATAAAACGCATGCAGCTAAAAAGTAAGAGTCTCTTTAGAAGAATAATTACTTGTAATATTCAGCCTTCATCTTCAATCTTTCGTATACAAGTTTTCCAAAGATATCCAAAATATCTGTGATGAGAACAAATTTGCTTGGATAAAAAGCCATTACAGATGTATCTACTAATAGTTTGGCACACTGAAATAATTTAGTATTGAGTTGTAAGTTTTGCCCTAAGCTTTTTCATGGAAGTTAAACAAATGAATCAAAACCTGTATTGCAATTTTCAACGCCTTTACTCTTTGGTCGGAATGCCATGCTTGCACTAGTTCGTTGTTCAATTGTTCGATGCGCGCGGTATATTGTTGCTGAGATAAGTCCAACATTTGTCTAACAGAGCCTTCTTCAAAGTCGTCTAATTGCTCGAGCCGAGTTTTTACCTTGTCGACCATCGGCCCGCTCGGCTGAACTTTCACTACAACTGTAATGAAACAAACAGTTAGTTAAAAAACCATTTATTAATAAGCAATTTGACACAGCAATTCTGTGTTTGAATAAAGATTATTTCGATCGCCAATCTTTTGAAAAATTAAATACCTTTCTCTCCACCAGGTAAAAAACTAGTTACGATCGATAATTTTTCTGAAGTTGTATATTTGCTGAGTATAGCGGAACGTCTAACAGACCACGGTTCTACCAATTCCTCTGCTGTATCTTTAGATTTTTTACCCGTAGATGCAACATTAGAGTAATCCCACTGTAACATGTACACAATATAAATAAGATTGATTCCACTACTAGCTTACTATAAACTAGTCCAAAATTTAAAATATTCAATCCCTCAAATGCATTAGCAAAGGTTATAGAATATTAGATAGAACTATTGTAAATTACCTCATCTGCTGCCATTTTCGAAAGAGGATCTAATTCCTCTCGGGCAAATTGTGTAAGAGGATCAGAACCATCGAGAGAAGAATGACTCAACAATGGATCGCTCAGTGGATTTGCAGGAATTGGTGTATGTGTTGGCGTAGGTGTTCCAGTAGACGAACCAGTGCTTGTACTTCGTAACGCGCTGCGTCTAGCAGCACTACGTCCATCGATTAGCTACATTCAAGAAAAATTTATTGAAATTCACTCATAGAAATTAAAATGTTTATAATAAAATACTCCAGTTATGACTATATCTTACAGTGATCACAACTGGCTTCAAAGGATGGTCTGTAGCTTCTTCCAGACATGCAAACTTCACAATCCTGTATTCCATAGGTTTCGATATCCTGTATAATAAAGTTTTTTTATACAAAACACAGAATCTCAGTACATTTATTCAGATATTTATATTCACATATTAAAAGAACAAAATCTTATTACTATCATAACAATAACGGCGTAAGCAAACATTCAATAAATTATCTTACCATTCTACCTCTGTCATACTTTGCGTTGCAAGATACTTCTTTCAAGTTATGAGTGTAATTATTATGCCGATATTATGCGATTCATTCTGCGAATCCGTCGTTGGAAAGCGATCGTCGCAACGATGAAATCCAAACGTCAACCGGGAGTTTCGCGCAAAAAACTAGGCGAGGTGGAAGGCGGAGATACCGCACCACTTTGAGCCGGGATGTCACATGAACGGCAACGTGACGAGATTCGTCCGTCGTCGCTTATTGGTCGCTCGCGACGAGTGGTCTTCTAGAGATTTTCCCAAGTCCGGATTATTCTTGGGGCTGAAAAGCGTTCGTCCCCGATCGCTCCGGATCGCTCGTCGACGGTGTTCGACGGCGGCTCGCCTCGGACGAATCTGGAGGCCGCGTCGCTTGCGAAATCACGTGCATGCGGAATACGTGCGTCGGCGGTTCTAATCTACCGCCAGTTCCGCTATTCGAGTGTCGCGCGACGCAGGGCAGCACCGACGTACGTCGTGCACCACACGTCGTGTCCCCGATTCCGGATTCCGGCCACTCCGGGCGCTCCGTTCTCTCCCGCGATTCTTCGGCCGCACACGCCACCGTTCGCACGCTGCACGCGAGACTCGGGGATTTCTGCGGAAATTCGCGCGGCGCACCCACGGCACCGGCCATGGACGACATTCTCGAGAGCTGGGAGCAGATAGAGGAGACCGGCGTAAGGCGCATTTCAGAGCTTTGACCACCGATTCAGACGCGAAACGGGATAGTCTCGTCTTAACCTATAAACCACACGCGAGCTTCCTGCGAGTTTCCTTCGGCAGCGAGGAGACTCTCGAGGCCTGTCGTCGAGCGTTTTCTCGCGTCGGGCTGTCTCGATTTTCCAAGCTGCGTTTGCATTCCTCGTCGTTGATACACACGACTCGAATCGTAGCACCTTCCCCGTTACCATAAGGACACGTTCTCGCACACGGAATCCGTGAAGCCGTCGAGCTTGCATGGAGAATGTGGCTCCTTGCTCTAACATACTCCCAGTCGAAACTATTACTCGGTCTCGCTTGTGGAAATTATTTACTGTCATGTTTCTGGAAAAAAAGGATATAAAGTTATAATGGATTTTAGGCACTTGACAAAAGACTGGAGGCCCTTCGCTTGAATACAGAGGAAGAGGTAGAATCTTCTAGGTAGGCTTAGGTGAATGTTTCCAGGGCTTTTTTTTGTTTCATATTTCTTGTGTTCATTTCTATCAATGTAGATTAACTTTAACTTATCTTTCACCTTTTTTCAGTTTTAAAAATTAGAAAAAATAAAGAGTAAATTAAACCAAGGTTAAACTTAACCTACATTGATATAAATGGATATTAGCCACTTAAAAGCATATAATTTCTGCTATTTTCTATCATTTGTACATACATATGTATTATACATATTTGACAAACTTTTGAACAGGACGAGTCACGATGCAAATACAAGGATGATCTTATTAGGAGAAGATGGCCTTAGATCTCAATATGTACCTCCAAAACCTATGGTAAAGATATTAAAGAGACCAACCGGAGACTCGCGGGGCAGCGGCGATGGTCCATTTGATGATAAACCTAAACAACCTATTAAATCTCTGAAACAAGTAAGTAATTACAAGTCAATGCTGTTTTGCTCCATTTTATCAAACACATGAAAATATAACAAATTGTCCTTAGCGGGAGCAAGAATATGCAGAGGCGCGTAGAAGAATTTTAGGAGAAGAGAAGAGTCCAGAAGAAAAGATGATGCAGGAAATCAATAGAATTCAAGCCAAGTCGAGCACGCCAAATGGCAACAATTTTCCCAACAATGTTGTTCGCATGCCTATAGGCCCAGACGGCACCCGGGGATTCAACGTACGCAGGTAGCGCGTCTTCCGTTCAACTTTTTCCCATCATCATCTTCTTCCTCTCCTTCTTACTCGCTGCCACGGGGAAGGAGAACGGCTATGAGGCCGATGGAACAAAAAATATCTTCGCGCTCCCGATCAGAGCGAAAGAAATGTCACAGAGCTGCATCCTGCGAACAGCCATTACGTGGACTTGCGAAGATCGAGAAGATATTCAACCAAAAATGAAATGCCACACTGCATTCGGATAGTGCTCTTTTACACGGCAATGACTCAAATTTAAGGGGGAGAGATAAGTGTCTAATAGAAAAATAATTATATTTGTGTTTGCATGCATATACATATAATTGTATGCATACACATATAATTTATTTTTCTATATATTTATACACATATATACATACATATACATATGTATATACGTTACGTATATGTATGTGTGTGTGTATATATATATATATATATATATATATATATATATATAATTACGATTTGAGTAATGCAATAGAATGTGGGCATGGATTTGACATGTGCAAAGAAATGAATCGTTTCAGTTTGTAAACTTGTATAATATTGAAAATATCTAATTGTGTAATAGATATATCTTTGAACTTGTGTAATAGAAAATCTGTATATACTTATGTACAAGTAACAACTGTATACGATAAAACGTTTTGTTATTAAATCAAAGATACTTTTAAGCAAAAGTATTTTTCATTGTTTTTCATTTCGACATGATACAAAACGCCAAAAAATTTTATGTGATTTACATTGCTATGTTGCTTCGTTACACTATAAGCGTTTGTGATAATGTGAACTGATAAAACATTAATTATTTATATTATAATCTGATAAGTTCTTAAAATGTATGTTAAAGTTTGGTAAACATCAACAAATAATGTATCAATATTATAATTTTCTACTCAACAATGTAACTATTATGTACAATATTATTATAATCTATTTACATTGTTGGATGAGAAATTATAAGTGATGTAATGTGTATTAATTGTGTGATGTTTACTAGGAGTTATTGAGATTTATGTCATGACATTTAGATGAAATATGTGGCACATGAATAAACATAAACAGTAAAAGTTTAAAACAGTTTAAATAGTAAGCAAATAGAACAAAGAGTTTTAAAATGATTTTATGTTTTTTTCAATAAACATTTTATAAATTATATAAACAATTTATAAATTTTTTCTAGCTTAAGCTAGTGGTACATAAGAAAACATAAGCAGAAAAACAAATGGACTGATTAACCAAGAGTTTTAAAATAATGATTTTTCAATCATTTTCAACTTTAGTCGATTCGCTTATTGTCCAAGTTTTATTGCTTATGTTTTTTCAAATTCCAATTTATAACTCCGAATTGCCGGTTCTTTTTTGAATCAACAGTCATAAATCATGAATGTCTAGATGCGACATGATGCCGTATTCGGCATGGATATTATCTTCAAAAGTGTGAAGGACCTCTCCGAGCATGCTCGAATTGAATTTACGCCGTTGGGTGGTAGGCGTTGAAGCGTGATAACGTGCACTCGTGCGTGTATATACATACATATATGCGACATGTGTGTACGTGTGTTCGTGCCAAATGCACTCTCTCGTATGTATACGTCACGGCGCATGTCAATTCGCGTGTCTGCCGCTATCAGCTCGTCTGGTCGTAGGACGGATATCTCTCGCGGTTTCGAAATGACATTTCCGAGTTGTCCGTGAAAACAAATAGCCAGAAGTATCGCAGCGTTGTCTCCATTGGAGCCATAAGGATGGCGGAATCGAGCGGACCGATTCTTCACGTCATCGTCGTTGGGTTTCACCACAAGAAGGGCTGCCAGGTAAGTCAGAGATACGCCGATTAACCTGCCCCGCTGTCTCGTTACATTTGCGTTCCGCGCGTTTTTACATACGTCCAATGTCCGCTAATTTCGCGTCATCTTTCAGGTAGAATACTCATTTCCACCTTTGGTTCCTGGCGCGCCCAACGAGTGTCCGCTGGGATGGAAGTACTTGCCCACGCTTGCTCTGCCTGATGGCTCCCACAACTATGACGAGGATACAGTCTATTTTCACCTACCTAGTCTGAACGACCCAAAACGCACAATATATGGCATCTCGTGTTTCCGCCAGATACCTGTAGAGGTATGTCAAAGTGTCTTGTGCTGATATTCGACTTGATGGGATTCTCAACTCTGAATATATATTGAGTCGAATGGCTACACTTTGCAGAAATTGAAGAATCGCACGTCTGACATAACGAGAGGCACTGTACAGAAATCAGTCTGTGTGCTGAGTACCTTGCCTCTGTATGGGCACATTCAAGTAAAAATGGCTCTGATTACACATGCATACTTCGAGGAAGGAGATTTCAGTAAAGTGTCCTTACTAGAGGATACTTATCATCATCTCAACTCGTGTATGAGTGGTGAAAGTCAGATACCACCGCAAATTTTTGTTGGTGATTATCCGTAAGCAAATTTTTGCTTAATTAAATTTAACTGTTTGAGTTATACATAATTTATTTACAGGTTTGTCCGCAAGAGATTTTATATTGCAATTCCGTCACAAAGTGTTGCTGTTATTTAAATTGCTCTTGCTTGAGAAAAGGATAGTTTTTTATCAATCGCCTGTGCAGCCATTATGCGCCACAATATTGACTCTACTGTCGCTGTATCCCGATATGATTGAACATGGTCTTCAACAAGCTGCTTGTGTGAGGTACTATGGAGATTCTTGAATAAAATTATTATTAAGATTAATAGTGACTCAAATATCAATCCTTTTTTTTCTAGACCATCTAGGCCAATGTCACCTATTCCGACTTTCGACGAGGAGGAGATTTCTAATAATATTGATGATTCCAACTTGTCATCCGCCTGTATCGTCAAAGACAATATGTCGAACGCAAGCCACGAACAGTGCAATGATAATAGAAATAGAAACTCTCTGTGCATTAATGACAACAAAACCATGGAGTCAATGGAGGGCAAATGCTTAGACGGATTGCAACAAGTAACTATACAAAAGAATAACAATGACAATGAGAATTTAAATATGAAAGTTATCGAAATAGAATCGGCGCAGGAATGCACCGAAAGTTATTTAGAGGAAAGTAATTCCAAATATTCGCCGAAACCGAATGATAACGTACACAGGGTACACAGTGTAAACGCCATCACATTAAATACAGGTGATACGGATAATAGTTTACCCCGTGACACGAGCAGTGATGCGCTCTCTGACGCGAGATTAACGAACAACATTACACAAATCGCGCATATTAATCCGGAAAATTGCGGCCTACCTTTAGAGTTATTTACGAAGGTAATACTTGATGTTACATTTGTTGCAAATATATCATCAGAAAAGAAATTTGCATAATTGCAAAAATGTATATGTATATATTTGTTCTAGGGATATCTCTGTCTACCTTACCTGTCTTTGCCCTATTTGGATCTTTTAGGGGATGTTAATGTTAGAGGATACGTAGTAGGTGCTACAAATGTACTATTTAAACAAAAGAAACAGCTTATTGATGTGCTAGTCGAGGTAAGCGTAAATAATACTAGATTTTACTCTTGAATGAAGATTATGAAAATGATTCAACCCGTAATCGCATATCATTTATAAAAGGTTGAGAACACGCGGATAGAAGCTACCGATCCCGAATTGAGACGACAATTGCATCTCACCACCGAAGACTTGAGATTTGCTGATTACGTTGTAAGGCACGTGGCCGAGCCTCGAAAGGATATTTTTCTCGATGGAGTGGGATGGGAGGGCGGCGACGAGTGGATCAGAACGCAATTTCGAGTGTACCTGTTGAGCATGTTGCGTACTTCTATGCAGCAGGACACCCGTCAATCGGATCACTACAACGCGGCGTTTATGTCCGCGTGGCGTACTACGAATAATTACAAAGCTTGGTGTAATGCGAACAAGCCAGAGATACATAATATCGAATCTGGTCATCCCTTTGCTGGTCAGCTGTCGGTGCAGGATATGAAACTACGCCTATCACAGTAAGTAAAATTCTTGTGCGAAATATAAATTATATAAATTCAATTATATAAATTCAATTATATAAATTCATAGTATAAAAAAAAATATAAGAATTCGGAAATATAAGAATTTTTTATGATTTCCTTTAACTTTTGATCAAGAGTATCTAAGAAAAATACCTGTTTTCCAGCACAATGCAAAATACAGAAAGCGGCAGAAAGTTGAATCAAGCAATGGCATCGACCGGGCGTGCAGTAGCCACTACTGGAAAAGCCGTGGGTAAGATTAAATAATTTATTTATTTAAATATAAAACTGATAATAGGGATTAAATACATTTGTATTTCTTGTGTTCTAATATATTTATTGCATATTTAAAAACGGGATATTAATATTTATTTTTAAAATATATTTTCTTATTTTTATTTTTTATGTGCAACTTTGACTAATTATTCTAAAAATCAGTCGGGAATATTTTAAGTCAATTCAGCTTAATTTCGCTTAATATCTAACGCTATCCGAATCATGTGTGAAAATATTATTTTGGAAATTAACAATTTACAAGGGGGAGCGCTGTCACAAGCGAAAGGGGCATTTTCAAACTGGTGGAGCACGTTGACGACAGTTCAGCCGGTCGATGAAGCAAAGATTGACAATCAAACGGCAAACAACCATCACACAGTGTCCAGCGTTGCGGACAAAGAGTCCATCGAAGATGAGGAGATGAATATCTCCACCACCAATAACGCGGATATCACCGTAGATCTTAATTAATTCGAAAACGTATGTCAATGAGAAATGAAAAAATGAAAAACGATCAAAGAATACGAGACATTAATAAGAACGTAATATAAAAATACGTAAAATTGAAACAAAAAACTTTTTGCAAGCTCGTGTAAAATGTGCTTGTTAAACGACCGAATTTTTTCAAGTATCGCAGTTTTAGTAAGGAGAAGTACGAAACATTAAAGTCACGTACGTACAACAAACTATACTAATGTGATATGAGCTTTGCAAGAAAAATTTTTAGGCTGTCGGACAAACACTGTAGGAATTACAAATCGACGTATTGCCGATTTAAGTACAAGTTTTTGTAACTTTCGTTGAATATCCTGTATATATAATTTCTATATGATTTATATATTTATAAGACGTATATGTTATAATTTAATTATTTAATACAAAAGACACGCAATTATCTCCTACTCAACTTTTCCAATATTGCATGCAATTAAGCGACAAGTGTCTATAAAACTGTCAATCATTTTTAAGGCCTCTCTAAATAACAGAGAAACATTTTCTCGAATTTAAGCTGTTCTTGGCAAAGATTACTCTACATTCACACACATGTATACTATACATAATAATATTATTTAGTTTATATAGAGAGACATTCTCGCTTAAGAAGTACCTGTAGTTTTTGTACATAACAAGTAGTACAGCATTAAATTTACACGCACATTTACATCGCGACTATCACGATGATTTTTCGTGTGCTTCGCGTATCGTTTTGACCAGATTTTTGTCTCATTTATCGCTCGGAAGAGTGTATTCTCCTTTGGGCGCATACAAGAAAAAAGCGAGAAGAGCGACGTATATGACGTACGCGGCCACGTCACACGTTATCGATCGTGTCAAATTTCTATTTGCAAGGTTTCAGTATTTTGTATTGTCATGAGTAGTGAATTACGCGCGGAGGATGCGCGGAAAGTTCGGAAACTGGGACAGCCGATATCCGACAAGACATAAACATTGTACATTGTTCCATAATTCATTTCACTAAGGCTAATCCTGTTATTGACAATATTGCTACCTCCATTTATTGTCGAGATTACACCGTACCATTAGTTCCGTGTACAACACGTTCCCTTGTAATTCGATAGATCGGTAATGAAAGATTTAAATCGAGATAGATAGCCGTTAAGCTGTCTGTCTCCATCGGAATAAAAATTGTTAGCTGTATCGTTAAGATCGTGGACGAGCATTCACGGAAGAGCTGCCGCATAGCGGAATTACGTTTTAATTAAGCTTTGAGCATATATGTAGATCATTTATAGCGCTACTAGGTGTAGTCATTATAAATATACGTATATCTGATTAAGGTATAAATATACGTATATATCTGAGAAATTCTTTCTTCACCGTAATATTTGTAAAATTACGCGAGTAAAGATTTAATAGTATTATTAATTTACGATTTTCCCCTTTGTGTAACATCGTGTACTTAATACTCTGTTTTTACGTTAGACTCGTCCTACAACGACTTGTCTTATATCTCAAACGGCCACATTTGGCGCTAAATGAGAGCTTTCAAAGCCGCTTCGTTAAACTTTATCTTAAGTTGTTATTTAATAGACGATGTGTAGAAATTATGCGAGCTGTTTATTTCGAAAGCGATCGAGAATATCTAATCTCAATGGAGAATTTTATCTCTCTTAAATCTAAACTCGCACACGCAAATAGTACTGTTTTCGAAATAAGCGGTTCACATGCCAGTCTAGTTTAAGTGTATCTCTTTGTGATATTTATCATAATCTCTACGACTTGAGTTAAATCCTCCGAAGATATTTTATTAAATGTTTTCGGGTACGTTTTTATTTAGATAAGTAAGCTGTGCCAAATGTGGAACGTGTACGTTTTTAGAGAAAGTATCGGTGTATACGGGCGAGATATGTTTTGCAGTTCAACAGCGCGATACAAGTCTAGACAAAACGAGTGAGCTGCTAACAAATTAAGAATCGACGTTAGCCGCTTAATAATTTTATTAAACGCTTAATAAAATTAACGTTTGATAAAATTATCAAACTTTCAACAAGCAACAATTTCCTTCTCGATCCTTGCCATTGAAGAAGAGTATGAATCTTTTTCGAATAATATACATACTTGGATTCACGTGGATATGAATTTTGCTCACGCTCTCTTTTTTAGAATTATATAAAAAAAAGTAGATTATAGGTTTTTATTTAAAATCCTTTTATGACACGTATGTACATATATTTTATTTATTACATTTTTTTTTCAATGACCTTCAATCACGCTTTTTACTTTAAGATTTTTTTTTTTCTTTGCGATCGAATTGCGAGACGCACTCTACATAAAAAAAAGAATTCTATAATTGATTTATTGATTGAAACAAAAGTGCTAAAAAAACGAACGGGGACAAACAATTCGGCGATCTTCTCACACAGCTTTAGATATTATATTATCGCCAGGAACAGTTATTTAAAATTGTCCTTCTCCTTCTCTCCCCGTTGAATTGAATATGTTTTTTATATTTATAAAATGCGAGTTTGTACAGCTTACGAAGATGTAAGAAGATGAAGCGTCCTTACGATCTAGGAAACGACTTACATTGTATCGTATTGTATAACTGTAGCAACGCCACATTTTTGTCGAAATATTAAGAGGAAATAATATATCCAATACACACTAAATATGATAATTTTTCTTTCGTGATCATTAAATTTATCTTTTATATCTACGTTTCTCAATTGAGATATACTGTGCCGTACATATTTTTTGAATTGCCAGATTTGTCCATTTTTACCAATGTAAATTAATCTCGGTTTACTTTTTATTTATTTTTAAACATTAGAAAAATATACAGAATAAATTAAATCAAGATTAAAATTAATCTATATTGCTAAAAATATTAGGTCCTATGTACCTATGTAATGGAGAAAATATTAGAAACAAGAATAATTAAATTTTTGTAATAAAAATTAAGAATAAAAATTAAACATAACACATGAACACATACAAATAAGATATAACTACATTTAATAATAAAAATTTAATTTTTATTCCTGTTTCTGATATTTCCTCCATTGTGCATAGAGCCTTAACATTTATACAATTTATAAATAATTGAACAATTTACGTGTTTGTGAAATAATGAGTCTCTCAGTTTCATTCATTATTCGTTATTCACGGCGCCGCGCGCGACCGGTGTGAATGTGGCCTTAAAATCATGCCGCGTGGGTCGAGGAGGTGGGGCGCGGAGCCACGGGACGGTACGAGACAGTGCGGCAGCTAGTAGGGAAATGAAAGCGAGAATCGGGGATGATCTCGCCGCGAGCCGTGACTGGTCGGCCGATGCGCCGCCGAATAAACATCGTAGCTCACCGATAATAGCCGAAGCGCCGTAAGGTGCCGCTCGGCTTGCGGGAGCGAGACAGAGGGAGGCCGTGTGCGAACGCCATGGTGTGTGACTGGCAACGTCACTGTCGTCGCCGTTGCCGTCGTCGCCGCCGCCGCCGCCGCCGCCGCCG